CGTTGTAGAATAGATGCCAGGCCAGTAGATGGCAGTGTGACTTTCTAATGAAACGACATGCATACTCTTCCTTCAACAGAGCACTGAGGTGTAAACATACAGAAATGGCCTAAACTACAAAGAGAGTACATTTCAAGAAAATGTCGACTGGGAGTGAGCAGCACAAACTCAGGAATCCGCCATTGTTGTTGTAGGCCACCTGCTATCGTCTGCAACTTTTTTACACAACGTTTCAGGGAGTTTGCACTCTGGGAGTCATATTCAAGGCCTTCTGTTTTCAGTCAGCCACAACACCAACGTTGTGTAAACAAACAGCCGTAACCCAACAAAAAAGGTGCCGGATGAAAGCGGTGACCTGTAAACAGGTCTTAGTCATGAGCCGCTCTGTGTCTACATTCATCAGTGTGTTTCATGTTAAAGTTGAGCGCGCCTTCACACCCACACAGGTGTATCCACTTTAGCCTGATTAGTTCTCTTCTCAGGACTGCGTAGGCGTGTACAGACAGCATTTGATTCAGAGCACACAATTTTCTTTTTTCAAGCATAGCTCCGCCCACATGCCACCTGACAGGAGGTCTAATCAGCCTGGCTAAATGAAAACACCTGTGAGGGCATGAAGAGCCTTTAATTGGGAGTGGTGCTGAATGATTCCCTCTTTAATGACAATGTTAACCTATTTATTGGCACATAGTTTATGAAACCCTTACACTTATGCCATGAATTTTTTTGAGCTGCTCATTTTTTACACCAGATATTTCCCAAGAAGTGTAAAATGTCTCTTTTTAATGGCTTGTTAGAAGGCATGCAGCTATGAGATGCTGCTACTGCTAACAAGCCACTGCCGGACATTTTTCAACAAAATGTGACAAGTGAGGAAAAAGAAAGGAGAGCAAAAATGCTGCAGCCCTTTGTTAACACCAGGGGAAAAACATGAGTACGTGTGGACACAATATGTGACACAATACACTGCTTCAATACAGAGCACTAGGGATGGACAATGCACCCTCCAACATGATCATCAGACTCCAAATTCGGAACAATTTGGGGGGCATTAGAATCCATCCCACCAATGGAGTGGACGATTTTAGCATGGTTGTAAAGCTGGCTATACACTGGACGATTTGAGTTTTCTATTGCACAAAGCCTGAAGACTTTACGGCACAAGAATTGATCAACTTTGCTGGTGATCAACGCTGTATTTTTTCTACTAACCAGAGTGTGCAGGGAAGTAGTAGCTCAGTCTGTAGGGACTTGGGTTGGGAACTGCAGGGTTCACATCCCAGTCCAAAGTTTGGAAGTTGGTCTGGTGGCTGGAGTGGTTGCCAGTTCACACCCCAAGTACTGCTGAGGTGCCCTTGAGCAAGTGCTATGAACCCACAACAGCCAGACGCGCTCGCTGTGTAGCAGCCCCACTCTGACGTCTCTCCACTAATCCATGTCCCCAGGTCCTGTTTGTGCATGTGTGTGTTTGGGGTGTGTGAGAAGCATGTCTCTTAATTACAGAGTGTAAAACAGAATTTCCTCTTGGGATTAACGAAGTTTGTAAAAAAACAATTAAAGGATCAAATAAAATAACCAGTTAACTTTTTCTGTTAATAGCTTTCCATCCTCCTAAATTTTCAGTTTTTACACCCTGCCACAAAAATAAGAACATTTAGTTCTGCTTCCACTTCTCATTATTTCTTAGCCCATGCTGCCTGTTAAACAAAAGCCAGAGTCCTTCAATGCACCAGTGGAGCAACACTCTATGTAAGGTGTATATCTCAGCTGGCCAAATCGGTCACTAATCACACCTATACTTAGCAACCACTTCCTGTTGGAAGGACTTCCTCTGTTGCCTATATGTTACATGAGCAACACTTTATTTGACATAAAACTGCTTCCACTGCCTCAATCTCATTCATCATAATAGTAGCAAGCAAAATAATAATCAGAAGGAAAAAAAGAAATGCAACTGCCAAAGACCAATTCTGGAAAAAAAAGGCTTATTCTTTCCCATGTGTGATTTCTTTTACATTTAATAATGTCCGCCCCTCTATTTGTCCCTATCCTTCTCCTCTTCCTTCATCTCATCCCATCTCCCCCCATCCCATTCTTCTTTACATAACAATGAGTAAGCTCTTTTCCCTGCTTTTTGTTAAGAGTCTCAAGATAACATTTGTTATGAATAGGCATTATACAAATAAAGATTGACTCATTGATTGATTGATTGTATAAGAGTAGTGCAAAGGAGATGTTTTAATTGTATTTATTTGATATCAAATGTTGTCCATCAGAAACAACCCTGGACATTTGTCACTTTATAACTATTTTTAAAAAACTGCATCGCTCTGCAGGCTGTTCAATTATAGACCCTTTGGAGCGCTGGTGGGGCAGTGGTTAGTGCGTGCGCCCCATGTGCGGAGGCTATAGTCCTCCAAGCGGACAGCCAAGGTTCAAGTCCGACCTGTGGCTCCTTTCATGCATGTCGTTCCCCAAACTGTCTCTCCCTGCTTTCCGACTCTATCTACTGACCTAAAAAATGATAGGCCCTTTACCATCATCATCCTCGTTAAGCTGGGCGAGTGTGTCAGTCTCATGACACTCTGTGGAAGTTGTAATGTGACTTGTGATTTGAACAGTGATAACATTTTGTCATTAATATGATTTTGACTCTATTAACAGAACATGTTGTTTCTTAAACAAGCTAACTTTTTACATTAGAGAGTTTCCTACGTTGGTGTTGAGGTGTTTCCAGATGTCAGACACGACAAATGTCCAATAAGTAGAGAAGCAAGCTTTCCACTGTGCCCTAGCACAAAGGGCCACGATGTGCTGTGTATTGTCTAGACCGTTGATCTGCTCAAAGAAAGATCAAGGCAAATGGCTCGTGATGAAATAACAAAGCAACAATGGAGATAAAAAAAAAGAGCTCAGTGAGTCGTTATTTGAGCTCTATGAAGCTGAAACATGGAATACATTAATTTAAGGATTGAATAAAGACGTAAGATGTATTAATAAATTGCATTATATCAAAATTAAAAACCCCTCCATTTAACAAAGACAACCCTATAATCCCTACATTTTTCCAAGAAAAGACAAAGACATTTAGGGATGGAGACCGATTCCAGACCAAGGCAGGGCGAGACAGAGGCAAGGCCAAGAACACAAAAATCAATCATCATCCTGTGTGCAGCGGGCGTGTCAATCACTTAGACTGTGACAGTGGGAAGGTTGCGGAAGTAACCAGGGGATAAAAATCTAATTATGAATGAATTGAAGTTGTTCTTTAGAAAGGGGCCATTTGACAGTAAAAATAGCCGATGAGTGGACGTCTTGACTGGTCTTGATTTAAAATCCGAAGTCCACCCACCACTCTTGTTTTTCTCATCTTCTTTTTTTCTCTTTGCTGCTTGATGTGGTTGTTGGTAATTTCATGAAGGTCCCGGATCTGTAACTTTCACATATTAACTTACCTAACTAAAAAATTGTATCATTGAAATCTGCGCACTTTACACACTTCTGCCTTTTTACCTATGCAACCAAATTGAATAATAACAAATAATGTAACCTGAACCTGAATTAAAACTTCAGAGCAGCAGCTGGCAAAGGTGATCAAATAAAGCACACAAAACAGTTTCAGAGTTGCTTTTGCAGAGGCTCGCTCACACTTCTAAACAACACAACAAAACCCTGAACCTGAAACCTCTCACTATCTCTGATGGTGAGATAATGAGTCAGCACAGAGCACTGAACACCAAAACTATTTAGAAGTTTCACACACCTGGCCACAATCAGGGCCAATCACACACACCTGACCCTGACTTGACCTCCTATTCATCATCATCAACAGCATAATATGTTTTGTTCATGTTAAGATACTTTCTATGAATTCATGTATTGCACATAAACTTTTTGCTAAAATATCGCTCATAACAGAGACATTCACACGTCTTCTTCGTAGCATCCACAATTTTGCATAATGTGTGACCACAGCTGTATCCGCATATGTATATATATATATATATATTTTTTTTTATATATTTTTTTAACAACATTATATAAACTTTGTTCATAGCTTGAGTGACTGATGGGGCCTTAGAGAAATCCATATGTGGCAGTTATATCACTAGCCCCACTTATAATAAAGGGTGTGAATGTTAGGATTTCAAAAGGCATTGAATCATATCAAATTAAAAAGTAGAGTGCAGAACACATCAGGAGGTTCTTGTAGGTAAGAATCAAGATAAGAGATGGCAGACAATATCATGAGGTGTGTGTTTGTTGTGGTCACTGAAATTACAATATTAATTCAGATAGTCCCTGCCGGTTTTCATTCTTAAGTGTCTAAATAAACTGGGATTTCACAAAACTCCGAAATGAACCAATTTGCACCAATATTGGACACTCAGATCAACTCAGGACTTTCACACAGTATAAGGTTCAGGTTCCAATTTAAACCTAAAGTTGGCATTGAGTTTTAAAACTTAAATCTTCAAATTAGGAAAGCAGATGCTTTAGTAAAAAGTTGGAAAAAAACAAACTGGCTAGTATACATGACTCATTCAGTACAAAGTGGCTTCAGTTAGCTCAGACTTGACTGACTGACTGACGGCTTTGTTCAATAACATCAACACCAAATGGCTCCACAGTTAGAACTCAGTTTGTAGTTAATGTGAACCTGACAAAGTGGGCCTGTGGATTATATTCTAAATCATTGCTTCCTACTCATTATGTAGTCATGTTGTAGACTCTTTCTTTCTTTCCCAATATCAAACAACAGAATAATAAAGTTCTCCGTGTGTTCTACAGGAACATGATTGGCTGTGAGAGCCTGAAGAGTTGAGAGCCAGAACGCTTCAATGGCGTGGACCAAGTCATGGTCGCATCCAGACCCACGGCCAGACCCAAAATGGATACCCTACAATCTCAGCACTCAAACAACTGTTTCTTCAAACACCATTCAAGTCCAGTGTCCAGTTTTCCTGCCCCTCCTCCTCGTGCTTGCTGCCTTTGCTGACATGGTTATTGCTGGTCCACCTCAGCTGGCTCGCCCCCCTCTCCTATCTGGACAGCCTTTTATCATCTTCTGGGGCATCCCTGACTCTTCCTGCTCCGGTCGACCTGATGTCAGAACTTTTGGGATAGAACGGGAGGGCCGAGTGGCTGTGTTTTATGAAGACACGCTTGGAAACTATCCGTATTTTGCAGATAAAGACACACCCATCAACGGGGGGCTGCCACAGAACACACGGCTAGACAACCACATCCAAAAGACCCAGCAGGACTTGGAAACAGCTTTACCTGCCCCAAGGTACCTTGGGTTAGGGGTGCTGCGCTGGGCTGATTGGATCCCACAGTGGTCGAGGAACAGAGAGAAGCAGGCTATGTATCTGGAGGCATCGAGGAAACTTTTGAAGGCTTTCTTTCCTAACTGGACGCCGGAGGAGGTGGAGAAGTGGTCAAAGGTAAAGACAATTCAAGGGAAATGGTTTTAAAAAGCTTGGAAGAGAGGAGGTGGGAGGTGATTCAGACAGCTCGCAAGGAAAGAAAGGGAGTGTAAGGGAGGATGGGTTAAGACAAAGTGAAAATAGAGACATTGGCAGAGGTTTGAGTGTTCATTTTTGTGGAAGCATATAAAATAATTCTGAGTTTAGAGAAAATCTTGATGCAAATGTAAATATCAAGTGCGGCAAAATGACGCTATTTGATTTTACTCATGAACAAAACAAAGTATAGTATTCATGTTGGCAATATTATTTTATTGTGATGTAATGATATGAGCACCTTTAAAGAGGTACTAAAGAAGAACATAGGAGAGGAAATGGTGAAGATGGACAGTAGGATGAACATGAGGGCAGAAAAAATGAAGTAAATTTCAAAAAATTCAGTACATTTGAAATGTGTCATTAGAAAAAGAGGAGTATTTCTAAGAATCTAGGATCTCCCGCCTTGTTTATGTTCAAACCTTAATTCTCTGTTTCTGTAAACCTAAATGTCTAGAGGGGACTGAAAGGTGATCTATTGATGTTGTCACAGGTGGACTTTGAGGCAGCAGCCCAGTCAGTAATGATGGAAACTCTCAGGGAGGTCAGACGATTAAGGCCCAAAGCATTATGGGGCGTCTCCCCTTACCCCAGCTGCTACAACGGCGAACCTGCCCAAACCATGCTAGCCAATTACACTGGCCAGTGCCCTGCTGCAGAGAAGGCCCTTAACAATGAGCTTCTGTGGCTATGGAAACGATGCTCCGCTCTCTTCCCTCTCCTCACCCTGGAGAAGATGCAGGTAGATAATGTTTGCACATATACACTATCTATCAAATAATTACAAACATAGCTTAACAGTTGTGAACCATTTGTCTCCTTTCGAAACAGGGTGGGACCCCTGGAGGCAGGCTGTATTTGTCCAGTCAAATTAAAGAAGCAATACGAGTGTCATCTCTAAGTCGGACAGCCTTTGATCTCCCTGTATTCCCACTGGTCAAAAGTGTGTACGCCTCAACCAACACTTTCCTGTCACAGGTGAGAAATCAACATCACGGATCAATACTAAATCTGAACCAGAGGACAGGAAGGAAAGAACTAGATACATGTTGTTTCATAGCATTAATTCTTATAAAAGAAACATTTAAAATCATGTGTTATTTTTCATCATGTGTAGAATTCAGGCTGAATATGAAGTTTATACTTAATCATATATGACCAGTACAAAAATAGACAAAGAGCTTGTTCTGCTGTGTTCTGATTTCTTATAGCTTCATTTTTTTCTCTCCACAGGCAGACCTAGTGAGCACCATAGGCGAGAGTGCTGCCATGGGAACAGCAGGAGTTGTCATCTGGGAGAGAAGTGAGACAAAGACAGAGGTACACAACTCTAATGTGCATAAAGTTCAAACATCCAAGAATATGTCTGCATGCTGACTCAGCATGAGATAATTAAAGATGCTTCTTGTAATCAATACGCTTTTACCGTTTTACTTTTCATCTCACAGATCTGATCTCCAGAGGTTGTTATTGTGCTGGAGTGTTTGCTGCGTCTATTATATCAATCAGAGAAAACTATTCTCGCTGTAAGTTCACATCGAAGGCTCCATTTGTCTGTTTTCTCAGAGAGAGTGTCAGGAACTGGCAGAGTTTGTCCGTACGGTCCTGGGACCCTACACCCTGAATGTAACCACGGCAGCAGCACTCTGCTCCGCCTCTCTCTGTCAGGGGAAGGGCCGATGTGTACGTCAAGATCCAGGAAGCTCTGCGTTCCTCCACCTCCCACCCCCGTTGGAAGTGGTGGAGAAGGTGACGGAAAAGGTGAGAGGATGTGAATAGAAGTAGACCTGGAGATATAATTGTTCTGGATTTATAAAGCACTAATTATACATCATGTATCAGTCTGAGGCTGAAGGAAAAGCTTGATGCCTGCTCCTATAATAAAATCTAGATTCAAGATTGCTCAATTATTGTATCACATTACAAAAGCATTGCATATGAGAATTCATAGCAGAAAATATAAAGTCTAGGTTTTATTTACTTCAGTCCATAAAATAACCGCAGGGGACAGAGGTAAATACGTGCACAGCAAAGATGGGAAAGATTATAAAATTTGAAATTTAGGGTTATGGTAGGGTTAATCCTTAAACAAAAAAGGATATATATATACAAAAAAAAAAATTCACAAATTTGATCTTGCTTTGTAAAACAGCATGCAATGGCCTGTGCACATGCGTGCACATGTTGTGGTTCATCTGAAAGAATAAACATGTCCTTTAAGTTGTAATATCTTGCCAGATGGCAGCATCTGGAACAGTCCTTGGTTGGTGTTGCTTTGGGTGTCTGATAATCCTGCAAGCCAAGCCCTTAGTCCATAAACATCCTGGCTGGAGGGAAAGTGCCACTCTGAGCTGTCTGAAAACCTCTGTAGAGCATTTGAGTTCAGTTCTCAAACCAGGCAGTAATGTTTCCAGTCAGAACACTCTCAACTGTTCCTGAAGGATCTTGGGCCCCATGCCAAACTGTGTAAGCTTCCGAAGGTGAAACAGGCTTTGCTCGCCACATGGCCGGTCACTCGGCCTAGATGAGGGCCTCAATGATGTTAACATCAGGTAGCTGGAGGCTTCTGATAGACCTGTGGATGCATTGGGTTTCAGCTTCTATTTCTTCCTCTTGTAGTCCATGGTCAGCTTCTGGGCCTTTTTTGACATCGAGGTTGTTGCCCTCACGTGTTGACCAATTGTTGCAGTATTCACACTTTGAAATCACTTCACATCAATTTCTTGTTATCGGTAAGCCTGCTGTGAGTAGCCTAGCAGGCATGTTAACAGATTATCTTCTTGGTTGGAAAAATCACTTTTCTGTCATTGTGCAGTCATCAAAGTCACACCAGTACCTACTGGCCAACTAAAAGAACAATTAAGAATGACAGCATGTTTTAAAACATATTTCATTATTGTTTGTAGCAAACTGTGCAGTAACATATGTGGTGCCATGCTCTTGACTTTCACAATTTTCTGCTACTCAAGATTCAGACAAGCCTGTGTACCAAGCGGCAACCTCTAGTGCTGAAAAATAAGGGAGATGCAGAAGTGCAAATTCTTGGAATTTCCACTTGAGGCTGGCTCCAAAAATACACACCCATTCAAAAATGCCCATTTTAGAAATTAACGAGTTTACAAGATCTTTCAAGAAACAGTTTTGGTTTGACTGTCTCTTTAAATGGGTTGTGGCTGATCTGACTGCAAGCAGGGGCGCTGTAGCCGTTCATCAGGGGGCTAAATGTCTGCCCAAGCTCCACCTGTCACTAGGCTGACTGAAAGTTATGCTGAGACAGCATTTTCAGAATGGGGCCCACCATCGTTGAGCTTCAAACATCCCTTCAGTTACCAATGTATGATGTCACTGAGCTTACGTCCATGTTTTATACTGTCCATTCTGTGGACGCATTGAGTCCTCAAGTTGTGTTTTTCTAACAGAAAACCTAGGAACAGAGCAACTCATTTTGAGCCATGACAAATAAAGATAAGCAACACTTTATTCAAAAAAAAAAGAGAGGGAGTGAGGCAGCGGGGGGGCTCAGCTGCCTGAGGATCTTCTTTGTTGAGAGGAAAACAGTAGCTGAGCGATAACAGAGAAATCTGGTGTATTTTGATCCCACTGCATGAGCAATGTGTTTTCTAGAACACATCATTTTGGGAAATCTCTGGAGAAGTGACTATTTAGTCTTCATAAAGAGTGCAAATATGAATGTTTCTGTAACTGCAGCAATCTTTGAACTTCAATTTTACACTTTAATGATAAAGCCTTTCATGTTTCTTCTGAAGCAGTATGAACTCATCCTAACATTATTTTCTTCCAAAAATCGTCTCAGGCTGAAGCAGCAAAAGCCACAGATCAGCCTGACACAGACACCAAACCAGCGGACCCAGACCCAGCTGAGCTCTGGAAGAAAGACTTCCAGTGCCAATGGTACAAGACACCGGACAGGGAAGTGTCAGATCTGCAATCACCCAAAGATGGAGTGTCTGGTGGGGTCAAGGTAAAGGAAACAAAAGGGTCTATAGCGCCTTCTACAGTAGCTTCAAAAGTTGCCTCTCTGACTGAATTAAGAGGAAGCAGTCCACCTGCTAGTCAGACGCCTTTACTGGACGCAACCACAGACGACGGCGCAAATCCACCGAGTGCCCCAAACCTGACTGTTCTGCTGTTTCTGGTGGCTGGAAGTCTATTCTTCTTAGAACCATAAAATATGAAACAAACCAGACTCCACCTTAAAGGTCTGGAAAAAACTAATGGAATATTACTGCAATATGAGCCTTTCAGAAGTGCCCTTGAGCAAAACACTGGATCTCAGGTGGCTGCAGACGTTCTACTTTGCAGTTACCCTCTATTACTCAATGTGCCAAGAAACAGGTACAAGCTGCTCTTTCTTCTCAGTTTTTACTGGCTGCATTTTAGGAAAAAGGAGATGTTGATATCACTAGATATTTAATTACCAATCAGTGTGCTGTGCTGAGATCAGCAGATCAAAACAGCCACAGGTACACAAAAGCAGTATTTAATCCTGCACTGTTTTTGTTTTGCACATTTTGTTTAACAGTGCTTTGTCATTTGAACATTTGTGTCTACGTTTTGAAATCTTATGCAGCCAGGATTTTCTCCTGTCATTTAGTTGATGTGCTGCCGTAAAGGGTTGATTCATCATAAGAAGGAGAAATAAACAAGGGATGCTGTCAAAAGATAGCACAGAGACTATTTGTCAGTGAACTGCTGACATCAAGGTTGTTGTATCTGAAGCGGTATTATGGTGGAGTTTTAAATACGGCACACATCAAATCATTTCTGACAAACTGTAAACTTTTCATCTCGGCCTTCAGATGTTGCATTTGTTGAAAACTCCCAGGCTTCAGAAGGCCTGGGACACATTTACTGAGCTCTCTAGCACCCTCTACCTGAGTGTTGGTGAAACTGCACAACTGACAGGGTTCCTTTTTTTACACATACCAGCAAGAAAATCCCAGGTGGAATAAAAAAATCATGATTGATGGCTGGATTCCAATATGCTTCTTCTATTTCAGTGTCCCTACAGTCTTTGTGCAAGCAGCTTTTGTTCCTGGCAAAACTGACATCACCAGAGACACGTGAAAGTTACTAGTATCACTTGCTTTCCTTCTGTGACATGTCAACATGTTTTCTTCTGGCCTCACCAGCTTGTAACTGTGGCGGATATTCTGGTAAGAATCTGCTCATGAAATATTGTGCTCATCAAAGGACCTCCACTCAGTACTCAACCTCTTACTTGACAAGTAGCATGTTTATACTTTTGTAAGTCTATTTATTTTATCCAAAATACTTAGGGCTCCTTCAAGGGGTCCACCATGAATAAAACACTGAAATGTATGGGTTGTGCAGCTCATGTAAAGTTTATTTGTTTTTCATTAAAATATACACTCAAGACAAAGGGTATCTAAATCATTTTTTTTTTAGTTACAGAAAGAGGTCATATTTACACAGGTGAATCGGATTTTACAACAGAGGATTAATCAAACATTAAATATGTATTTATATATATTTATATTATGAACAAGAAAATGACATTTCCTCTTATATCTCCCAACTCAAGGTACTTCCCTCACCTTGAGAAATCTACAGTAGTAAGACTCCCATATATCCACTCTGAACATTTTAACTCTCATCTTCAAAGAAGAGACATTAAAACAATACAACCATGGACATGATCAAGTCATTTCAGTAACATCAAAGGGGATCCAGAATCATTAGATTTTATAATATCAGCTATTAAATGTTGCTCCCATTCTTCTTTAACCCCTCCCCCTCTGACAATTTTCACAAATCTTTGCTAAGAAGGTTGTGGATGAACAGGAGCAGCAGAGAGACACTTCAGATAATGCAGAGCCAAGTGTCTTTCTTTGCTTGCAGTATTGCTCTGAAAATGCTTCATAATTTTAATTTAGTTTGTTCGATAAGTGTTGGTCAAGTCTTAATCGTTCAGTTAAATAAAGTGATCACATCAGCAACACTACTGAGGTCAAATGCCATATCTCCCGGCCAGTTAAAGGTGCATGAACTAGTAATAATAGTAATATTATGACGATGTAGTACAAATACGATGATCCATTAGAAGGCTACCCACCAGTGCAGTGAGAGAAGTACCACAGTTTCTTCATGTTCTCAGTATAATGGCTTCAGGTAAAATAAAGTTCAACAGACACTGCAGTGGTTCAGAGGTTTGATTATTAAGTTAACAAATACTTACTTTTCATCCATAAAATGCAGGATGAGTCCTGGTAAGTTCATATTGTAAGGCTGTGCACCAAATCCTACCAGCTCTATTTCCCACATGTAATTATTATTTAGTGAAAGAAAGTGACCGATCTTCTGTGTTGGAGGAAACACAAGCCAGGAAATGCTGCATTTGTATAGTAGCTGTTGACTGTGTCATGTCTCTGTGACAGAACAGACTAATTTGCAGGCTTTTTTTATTTCCAAGCTGTAAATATGAAAGTAGTCGTGGCAGGATAGATGTATTGTGTTGTTTAAAATGAAGGAATCCACCATTTGAAAAGGTAAAACGGAGTTACAGCTACAACAAAAAAACAAATTCATATTTAGCTGAAGATTAGCTGCCAGCAAAAGTCCTCATGCGCCAAGAAGAAAGCTCAAGGATTAAGAATGGGTTTGGAATTAAGCTTTTGTGATACATAAAACATTTCCTTAAATTGGCTGAATCAAAAGTGGATCACAGGATCCGATAAGAGCAATCTGTTAGCTACTAAAAGTTTTTAAGTGGTTTCAGATTTCATGAAAAATCCTCAGGTTGGTTAAAAGATGCAAATACTGTCATATCACAAGACATTTAAAAGTCAAATTCTTGGTTCCTGGAGTTTTTCAAACATCAAGAGTCACTTTGTAAGACACACAAGATATTTTTCCAGTTGTATTCCTTTAAACTATTTGGACTAAAATGTGACAGCTGAGGTTTCAGGCCAAATGCCAAATGACTGGCAGAGAAGCAGACATGCATTTTTCTTGATGTCTTACAGAATGAGAGCAGAAACAGTGAAACTTTCTTAATCTCCTTCCTCTACCTTCAAGCTGCATTTGAGCTTTGACTTTAAATCCAGTGAAGCTGTTCAGTGGGTGCTAGAAGAAAAAACATCCTGCTCTACCGATCAGTCCCTAGTGACACCAAGTAGCAGTATAATTGAAATCGTGAGCATGCTGAGAAAATGAATAAATAAACATAAGAAAAAGACAGACATGATACTCCCCTCCCCTTGTTTATCCTGCAGTGAAGAATTCTGATCTTTGTTGCATAAGATTAAAAAATAGACTTTCTGTTCCTGTGCAAAAGTCACTGTCTTCTGAGCAGTCTGTACTGGCCTCTCCATCATCCAGATGAAGTGGACGACATCGCCCCCACATGGGAAGGAAAGGTTAGTGCAATCTGAACCAAACGGGCTGGACGGATAGCAACACACTTTTTCACCTTGGACTGTCAGGTAGGAAAAAAATGTATTGATCTACACATCTTCAGGTTGTTTTTATGTTTACATGTGTGTGTGTGTGTGTGTGTGTGTGTGTGTGTGTGTGTGTGTGTGTGTGTGTGTGTGTGTGTGTGTGTGTGTGTGTGTGTGTGTGTGCGTGTGTGCGCGTGTGTGTGTGTGTGTGTGTGTTCAGGGCACTTGACCTAGAGTCTTCAAAACATGTGATTTTGGGAGTTTCATGATGACTTCACAAGAGGAAGTAAGGTTGTTTAAAAAAAAAAAAAAAGGAAGAAGAGAAAGCTCAGCCCCGAGAGCCAATCAAGCCCAATTCAACTGAAATCTCACAACACAAACATGGTCATCTTCAAAGGATGAACAAGCAGGGGGACAAAGAGCGCAATCATCCAGCATGCCTAGTAGCAATGGTTCCAGGGATCCAGACGTGCACTGAATCTTTGCTGCACTGTGTGTGTGTGCTACCTGCAAGGCGGTGGTTACTTGCAGACAGTCTTGTTCAGGGTGTGCTTGGTGTTTGGTCTTTGCGGATGTGTACTCGTACCAGAGAGGTGATTATTTGCAGATTGCCTCCAAAGCATCCAGGGTGCGTTTGATGTCGCGGATCTGTGCAGCCAAGGTGTGTATGGGCTGCATGGACCGGTCCAGCTCCTCGCAGCGCGCCATCAGTGTGTACATACCCTAGAGAAGTAAATGTATAAGATGAGCAATGAAAAATAAAGATTTCGATGAGGTTGCCAACTGCCGCCCTGATGCATCATTTAGTTACTTTCTTCATATAACAAAGCTGAAAGCTGATGACATAAAACACGCTTTTCGTCAGTGTAGTTTGAAGTTTATTCACTCTAAAATACATTGTTGCAGCATGTGTCCCTGCAAAATAACCCATTTACACAATGATTATGACATCCTGTGATCTTGCCCCTCCCATAAGAAAAGGCGAATATTTACTATCAAAAATCCTAAAGAACGTGAATTCACTTAAATCCTCTCATTTACACACAAACGTAACTTCACCTTTATACTCATGTCTACAGACTCTCCCAGGCTGTCCACTGAGTCCCTGTAAGTCTGGATGTAGCCCACACTCAGAGCGGTCATCTGCAGGAATAGACCCAGAGATTATCAATGACACTCAATGAAACAACATACATATCACTGAGAAATCAACAAAAAACTAAGCTGAATGCACTCTATGATCTAGTCTGAAACTCACATTCTGGATGGTTCCATTGAGGCTCCTCATCATCATCTCCACACTCTGAGCCACTTCCTGGGTGTGTCTCTGAAGATCCAATAGGACAGCAGGATCAATGGGAGGGATATCTGCTGGTCTCCGCGTCAATCCCCGACTTCTGTAGATAGGACCTGAGCAGTCCGCTAGTAAAAAAAAAAAAAAAAAGAGGAAACAATAATATATATTTATAGGCCTGCAACCAATTATATTATTATACAGATTATTCCAATTGACATTTTATAAAATGTACATTGTAGAACTTTTTTAAAGAGGACATATTATACACTTTTTCTACATTTTCAAACAGTCCCCTGTGGTCTAAATGAAACATCTGTGCTGTGGTCAAAATATAACATGAATCAAACACCAGAGGAGGTTTGTGACCCTGTATAAACCAGCTCTCTCAGAACGCTCTGTTTTGGTGTGTGTGTCTCTTTAAATGCAATGACCCCCCCCTTAAGTTTTCCCAGTAGATATCACTGAATAAAAATGGCGAACCTGCGCAAAATTTTTGTTCAAGGCTGGGGGTGGAGTTACCAGGGGAGGGGATTTTTAAAATGTTTTACCAGGATCCCACTGTGACATCACAAGGAGAGTAAATTTGAAACGGAGGATTTTTCTCTGTGTTGGAAGACTTGTGCAGACCACAAACAAAGAACTGGATGGATTTATTTCACATGTTGTGGGTCAGTAGACACTCAGGTTACCCAGATATATGTTCAAAACACTGTAAAATTAGATTTTTCACAATATGTCCTCTTTAATAAAAAAAGGGGGGGGGAAGAAAAATGGCCCAAATAAGTTTCCAGAATCCATATTCAAAGATCCTTTTTGTTCACACCACAGTCAAACAGCCAAAGATATTAAATATATAATGTGTTTGATACTGTCAAAGATTTGTTTTCTGACTATGGATGGATAACTTGTCCCACCCAGAACACAGACACATAAGGTTAAAATGACTATCTAAACGGATTAGTTTTGAAAAAGAATATCGACTAAATTAAATTCAAGAGAAACTGAAAACTGATTCCCATTTGAAAGCACACCTGCTCTTAAAAAAAACCCTGCCTGCACAGATTTAAACTAATGATGGCACTAAACTAAAAGAACATGTGTGCCTTCAATCATTTAATCTGGGAGTGCACAAATTGCCTGTGGCCAGTGGAGCGAAAAGAAGAAAACAGGTTTCCATCTCTGAAAATGATTCCTGTCAGGCTGCAGCAGGGCCTCAGTTATAAATCCCTCCAGTCTAAACAGAGTGTGAGTCATCCATCCTAATTGAATCAGCAGGTAGAGGGAGCGGCTGCCACACAGGGCATATTGACTGTGTTCCTGTGTTTAAACGAAGTGGTCAGTTTAGCTGACGCTGTATACCAGGGGGGATTTTCTCAGAGGAAAACGTGGAAGCTCATGTCTTTCTGGTAGAAAATTGGACAAGACAGGTAGTAGCTAACAGACAGGTAAGGTGGGGTCAACCTGCTGCACTTACAGAAATGATTTGATTTCTAGAATTGCTGTATATTTGTGACCTCTTGGAATATTATCTCAGTGTTTTTTGTGGGGTTGGGCCTTATTAAAACAGTCTCAGGTAACAGCAAAGTGTGAATCCTCATCGAGAGTGGTCTACAGAAATAAAGAAACTGTTCAGAATTCAGTGATCCAACCCAAGATATTCTTGTTTCATGGAAGATTTTTCCACAACTACTTCAAGTCCATCTTACTGCATCATGCAAACTGTCCTGTATAATCTCACGATGCAGGAAAGCCTGTTTTCTTTCAAATGATACTGTTGAAATGCAATCATCGGCCCACTCTTTCCTTCATCTGCTGCAAAAACGAGACCTGACAAACAACGAGAGACTCAAAGAGTCCTCAAATACAAAGTGTCATATAGCTGTCCAACAGAGTTTGATAGTTATTGAACAGGTAACACATCACATCTGGACACTTTGTTTTGCCTCTGTAGCTGTTTGTTTATCTAAATGCTTTGCCCTTTATCTGGACTAATGAGCTGATATGAAAGCAAGTCAGAAACATGAGTTCCATACCATGTATGTACACAAAGGCTGAGGAAACAGGGAAGAGCGAGGAACATGGGGCTGACAAAGAACTTGTGTTGAGAAAGGAAAGCACGTCTGCTTTTTGGAATTATTTACTATACTGAATAGATAGACAAAAATGTGTTATAAAAATGGACCCTGTTTAAAACGTGCTAAACAATAGAAAAACATATCCACTAGATACCGACTGATTAATCAGCAAGACGATTAATATCGGACTATATTAGCTTATCCAGTAACTGTTGGTATTGGCTGTTTTATCACAGATACACGACGATGATACTTGATTCATTGACAAGTCAAATAGCACTTAATTTGGGTTTCATTGCATTACACTAGCAGTTCTTTTTCACCAGCGCAGTGCACTATATGGATTACAACAAGTATAATCACTCTCCAGAGCGTCATGCGGTTATGCACGTACATACGCAGTTACTTTCCAGTTGAGTGGTATCTTGTTTTCGGTATACTTTATATCTTCTCCATGAATATTGACTGCATTCGAGGGATAAAGGCAATAAATGTGTATATCTAAATCTATCTATATCTACAGATTGGCCAACCGGGCGTGTTCACCTCTGCAGGGATTAACTGTCTGTAGCTGTGACTGCAAGTCAAGACTCCCTGCAATGCAGCTTCCGCACCACTGACAATAAAAAGGCTATTAACCTGCTGAAATGCCATTTCTGACAGCTTCCTCTGCAGAGGAAAAATACAAACCATCCCTCTGTTAGAGCCTCCTACACTATGTAACGAAGTTATGAAAGCAACAGTCATGGATGCAATCTGCACATCCTGTATATAAAGACATAACCTAGTAATGTGTGTTCTGAAATACAACTAAACTAAAACACTCCAACACACAAACATACATACTGACAAGTGTTCTCTCCCTATTGTGCCAACAATTCCTACACTGCACACACACATCCATACACACCTATCAAAGACTAACTTTAGGATATGAAGTGAAGCTTCAACTAACCATTTTTTAAATTTCATAAATAAAAGAAGCTTTGTTTTTTTCTTATTTGATGGAATAAATCTTGTCAAGTTGTCTTGAGTTCCATACTCACAGTCACTGCAGTCCAGACTGGGCTTGGAGCTCATCTTGATTTTCTGCTCCAGGTTCTTGGCGACGAAGTTGGTCAGGTCGCCCTCATGGCTGACTGTCCCTTCAAGCTCCAGAGCCGATGAGATAGTGGCCCTTCGACCCTCTGACTGGCCTGCTCTGCCCCCTCCCCGGGCCCCTGAACCACCTATAAAGTAGGGCTGCGCAATTAATCCCGATTCTATCGTTAACGTGGTATGAGCATTCGCAATAAACACACTGCGAAAGTCTGAATTGATCACAATTAAGAAATGACACACTTTCACAATGTTTTCTCAGTCAGCATGTACATTTCACCGGTTGGATGGAGGCCTGGGTATAATGGCCATGCTTTCAAACCATTTGTATGCAGTCAGATGATGCTTAAACTAGTTATCAGCTATCAGCCTCAGATTATTTGGTGCCACTTTAGTGGAGTCAATAAATAGTTTTTGGGATTTTTGATTCAGCATGGTGATAACACAGGTACTGTGAAAAATATGAAGAACAGCAGACACATAGAAACTGAGCTTACAAGCTAATGTGCACCATTTGATTTTTGTTTAAATATCGCAATTCATATCGTTATCGCAATATTGAACAATGTTATCGCACATTGCATATTTTTTTCATATCGTGCAGACCTACTATGGAGGCCATGCCAAATCAGTTGAATGAAGTTTTTGGATACTTAATTGGATACTTACTTACTTAATTTTTAGGGGACATTAAATAAGGAAGCCCTTTTTATGAAGCTACAAAGCAAAAACTACAGTAAACACAAAATGTTACTTCTTCAAAGGACACCAACCTCCACAGGCTTGGCTGATTTCATCCAGGCTCTTGCTGTCCTGCATCCCCCTGACATTGCGTACCCAGACCTGGGCCATGACGTGGGGAGGGCAGGGGACATCATCTGAGGGAAGAAGAGGAGGCGGAGAAGAAGAGGAGGACGAGGTGCTGGGACCAGGGGCTGAGGAGGAGTAGTGTCGTGAAGACTAGAAAAGGGGGGAAAAGGAGTGAGGAGGGGATCAAAGAATAGATTAGAGGAGGAAGTTATGAAAATAAGTTGAATTACTTTCTTGTTAAATCATAAAGACAGGTTATTATGAAATCAGGCCACATATAGTTCTTGATGGTAATAGTCCATCTCTAAACTTAGATGATGGTTTGTTGTTTGACCCTTACATTTAGCCATTTACAGAAATGATTATCAACTTTCAGATGTAGTCATTAAACATGTTGAAGATGGGGTGCTGGTGGCGCAGTGGTTAGTGGGCTCGCCCCATGTATGGAGGCTATAGCCCTGCAAAAGGGCGGCACATGTTCAAATCCGACCTGTGGCTCCTTTCCCGCATGTCATTCCTTACTCTCTCTCTCCCTGATTTCTAACTCTTTCCACTGTCCTATCTCTCCAATAAAGGTACAAAAATATTATTTCATTCCACTCACCCCAGTTCTCCCTCCTTTACGTGGATTTATCCACTTTTTTTCATATTTCTCATCATCCTCTTCATCCTGCTTCTCTTTCTCTCCATCCTCCTCCTCCTCTTCTCTGCTGTCATCGCCTCCATCAACATGTTCTCCGTCTGTCCGCTGTCTGTATTTAATGGCCCGGCCTCCTTGCAAAGATGAGTCTTTGGAGTGTGCGTGCTGTTCTGACTCCAACAGCAGAGGTTCACCAGGAGGCTCAGCAGTGCTAGAGGCCTCAGGAATGTCTGTGTCATTGGAGCCTGATTCTGAGTCTTCTGAGGGGTCTGTCACATGGGATATGTGAGGTGATAAACCAGACGTTCTCTCATTATTGTATGTGTCTGTGTCCGAGCAACCTTCGCCATCATATACTCTGTTTTCCACATCTACGTGGTTCTCTGTGTGTCCAAGGCCTCTGTCCTCTGATGCCTCATCAGAATAGGGCACTCTGCTCCCCCCAAACTTCTCTGAGACCGGAACATGAGGGCCATTTTCTGAAGAGATGGATGTCACATCCCCATTAGGTGTTTCTGGCACTTCTGTGCCAATGACAGGGAAGAGACTCATCCCTCCACCTGCTTGAGAAGAAAGAGTCAATGTGGGATGGAAAGATTTTGCTTTTTAAATACATATTTTAAAGCAGGATTCAATAAGAGGTTGTCGAAACAGTTTACCTTGGACCATTGTTTACTCAGGCTGGGTGTCATTTCAAATTTGACAGTAGATGACTGGTGGCAATATATTACAATGTTACAATTCACTTTGCAGATGCTTTTAACCAAAGCAACATACATCAGAAAGTACGTACAACAGTAATCCAGTCATACACTGCCACCGAAGCAGCGGGAGCAATGCAAGGTTCAGTGTCTTGCCCAAGGACACATTGGACATGTTTCTTAGCTGGGGATCGAACCCTCGACCTACTGGTTGAGAGGCGACGACTCTACCAACTGAGCCACAGCCGCCCTTTATACTGCCCAATATGTTATGTAGTTTCCATTGACACCAAAATAATGAGACCAGCCTTGGGACTGGCCACTATGGTCAGGTAATTTTATGATCATAAAAACCCACACACACACACACACACACACACACACACACACACACCACACACACACACACACACACACACACACACACACACACACACACACACACACACACACACACACACACACACACACACACACACACACACACACACACACACACAAATGACGTAAGCAATAGAAACCATGGTACAAACTACATGGCAAATTGTCTTACAGGGAGGGGAATCATTTAATTAACATTTCCATCATAACTTCCATACCTATTCTACTTACTGCCAACAGTTATTTTCTATTAAGAGCAACTACAAATAAGAAACAAACATTGTTTCTTGGTCACCTGAAAATAGTAAAGTGCTCATGGGAACTGAAATATTATTACTCTGAGTTCAGACAGTGGTTAAAATGTATCTGAAACCAAATCCCAATGCTGCAGTGGAAAATATGGCATCATTATGTTGTTTCCTTAGCCAGCAGGTCTGACCCTGAAATCTTAACCTTGTGTGTGTAAATGTGAAGACTGCAACTTGAGCTCATAGTTTTACAATCAAACGTCCATTAAAGTCAATATTATAATCATAGATAAGACTACTGTGTCATTATAGAAGCTGCTGTGGATGACAGCTGTGCTACTTATGGAGGAGACTTTCCTAGAAGCGTGAAATGACGTCATGCGATGTTTAGCTTAGCACTTGCTTTTAAGTGTTTACATTACTGCAGCTTGTTTACCATTCTCAAGACTGTATATAACGTCAATGTAGTTTGAACATCAGTCTGAAGACAAAGACTTCGCTGTTTCACAGAAAAGAAACCAGTAACAAAGAAATGAAGAACAAAAAGCAGAACTGCCAACGCCAGTCTTCATTGAGGAAGTTGATGAACAGCTGTCATTAGCCGCCTAGCTTACGAATGTTGTTGTAATGATGTTAGCATAGCAAGGCTAACGTTAGCTGCCCGGGCCTAAATATCAAAATGTTTTTACTGTTCGTATTTTATTATCTCACATTGTTGCATTCTAGAGAAACATTGATTGTTAAATGTGCATCAGTATTGTTATAAGTTCATACGACAGTGCATGTGGGCTTAATTCCAGAAAGAAAATACTCACCAGTGTAGTTTCTATTCAGAGAATTGTAAGCAGCACCCGAGTCCGATGATAAAATGCTTCCCCGCGGAGCTCAAGAGAGAAGTTCCGCTTTGCATAAAATTAATTATCAGATTAATCATCGCGTTTCAGGCACAATTATTTTATGTGTGAATGTAGTTCGCTCTTATCTGTTTATAAAGCGGTTTATCCCCGAGTTGTAGATTTTATGAAGAAATAAGAACAAAATATATGCAGACGGGTCATGTTAGCCTATAATTTGTAGGCTGTAATAAGGAACACCCCCGCCCCCCCTTTTTTTTTTTAAATAACAGAATCATGCTACCAAAAATGTATTCCCACATGTTGTCCTTGTGTGAGTTTATTTGTCTCTAACGGAGCCATAATGGTTCCAAGATGTTTCTCTCTTGGACTACAGATGGAGACAAACACCATGTCACTGTGGTGCACCAACACCAAGAATAGGGTACAAGTTGGATAGTGTAGGCTACTAAATGCTGAAAGATGTTTTACATTTTGAAGGAGGTGCAGTGTAACACATGTTGTTTGTTAAATGTTTAAAGAGAAACACATGAATTTCATTAACGATAATATGACTTTCTGAATGCTGTCTGTGCGGTTTTAACCTTACTTTTTCAATCCATTTTTTTTTCACAAACTAAATGAACAAACAATCCTGTCAGACAATGTGTTTCTTGCATAGGCTGCATGGTAGCCCCCCAAAGACTCGAAATGTATTATTTAGTAGGCTATTTGACAGTCCAAATAGATCATTCATTATCTTTTAAAGGTTGGATTTTGCCAAAAAAAAAAAAAGAATTAATAACAAAATTAGCAAAATTTTTATGAAACACTAAGCAGAGGTCAAGGAGTTCAAACCCGCTTTGAAAAACAAATAAATAATGTCTGTGGCTTTATGATTCTAAACAATTTGCTGCTATTTGTGATCCATTAATACAATCTTACAAACAGTGTCTAATTTTTCCCATTGACACCAGCCTTCATTAATATAAATTAGACAGACAATCAGGCAACATATCTCTCAGTAGCAACTGATTTTAATTAACTGCAAAACAGCTGTCCTGGTGTTAATAAGTTATTCTGAGGAATGGAGTGAATGGGAGGTTTAAATATGTTTTCATTTAGCCCATTTGCATTCACAGTGAAAGCCAGAGCCTGTGGCTTTATAAACTTTGAATATGGACAGAAATGACAAACACTGTTGCAGAAAAAGGGGAGAAGATCCAAAACCACACACTAACCGCATCTAAAGGTCTTGTAAAGATTTTAATCTATGCCTTCCATTCAGGACAGCTGCGCCCTCTCTCTCTCTCTTTCGGTGGGTATTTTACTGTTTTATCCCATTTGATCCCTCTCCTTTTGTGTTTCACATCAAAGGCTGACACAACTACCTGAAGACAATTAGACTCCTGAAATGAATGGTTTAATAACCACACCCTCACCAGATTTCTTTCTTTCTATCTTTTTTGGAGACATTCAAGTCAGAGGAAAGCTATTGCAGAAAAGTTACAGCCACAAAAAAGGTAGGAAAATGACAGCTACGAAGCTAATCTGAAGCACGTGCTGTCAAACAGATGTGCGGTTTTTCCACATTACAAACCAGAGCCTGCATGTTGGTTACTAAAATGACAGTGAGGGCTAATAAATCATAAATATTAATAGCATACCAGTTCAGGAGAAGGTCTACCATCTTTGTCAGAGAACCTAAGCTAAACATGCCCATCTCAAATAAGACAGATAGGACAGTTCTCTGACTTCAATGTTTGGTGGCTGAATAAAAGGTATTAATCAGGAATGCTCCACCCAATGGAGATCCAATGACTATTAAAGTGAGAGGAGGGTACTCATTAAATCTATGAAAACCTGTGCATATTTGACTTTTAGGATGACCTTAAAAGTCCAGTTAAATTATTCACAGAGAATCTTCTGAGGCAGTAAGCCATCAAATTCAATCTTAAGCCTACTGTAAGCAGACAGTTTATACACCACAAGAACGCTGCTGAAAGCTCTTATTTCACCTAAAAGGTACTTTTTATGTGTGAAATGGTGAAAAAGAGGCTTTTAGATTGACTGAGCCCTGGGAAAAAAATAGTCAATGGGTAGATGAGTCACTCAGTGTGGCAAATGCCAAAAGCGACTCCTCCTGAGAGCCTGTTTCCAACTCTCTGTTATGCTCCTGGGTGCGTAGTCCAACCCTGCTGTATGATTTCATTGAGTCGTTAGCAGTGAACTGAGTATGACAATAAACAAAGGACATTTTTAGTCACCTCCTCTTTAAATTGTAGTTGTTATTGCTGCTTGTCATCAAGGCGGTTCTGATTTTCCTTTGTTTGGGTAGTCACCCAGAGATGATAGCTCAGAGTCAAGAAGGTGGTTTGGTGAAATGATTGAGTCATTTAGTAAAACAGGACTATGACAGCTGTAAAAACTGTGGCTGTAGGTCACTGTTTAATGGCTAGTGACAATGCCAGGACTGTGTGGGTTTTCTTAAAGATCTATCACAACATGTGGTTTGACTCACCATCTTCAAGAAGAAAGAATGTTGTAAAAGTTTCTAACTCGCTTTAAGATTAACATTTCCAAATCACATTTATTACCAAACCCTACAGAGAACTCCTCAGACTTTAAACATGCTACTTGTGACTTGCAGGGTAAGTTATATGGTATATAAAATGTGTTGTAAATAACAAAGGATGGAGGCCTAGATAGCCTCGTGGTAATGTCGTTGCCCCGTGTACAGAGGCTGTATTTCTCGTCACGTCCTGCGGCTGGCTTGAATTTGACCTTGGCCTTTTGCTGAAAGTCATCCCCCCCACTCTCTCTCCCCTCACAACATTTCCTGTCTCTCTTCAGCTGTATATCAGATTAAGTCAAAAATTGCCCAAGAAATTACACACAAAAGAACAACAAAAAAAATGGAGAAAAATACTTATTATTGAATTGCTGTGTTTTGTGCGTTGCTATGATTTTAATGCTAACATTAGCATATATGCTTACTAAATCAATGCATAGGGTGACCATAATTCCTGATTTGACTTGGACAGTCTCCCTTCAAGCCAAGTGTCCTTATTCCAAAAAAACATCTATAAAACACTAATAGGTCCTGGTTTTGAACAGTCCTCGTCCTGGTTTTTAACCAACTTAAATACCGAAACAATACACCATGCTAACAACACTAATTTGTCTGTATATAATTCAATCAATGTTGCTGCCAAGGCTGTTGCTGTTTCACGAGTCAAGTTCAATAGTGATTTGCCTTTATATCAATCAATCTCTGGGTTGCGACTGTAGCTTATCATAATAACATGACCTGCTGTGTAACGACAGGTGAAAAGGAAGTCAGCATTTACCAAATAGCTCCAGGAGAGTCACCTATTGTTGACATTCAAGTAACTCTGCCGTCCCAATGAGTAAAGATAATAGAAGCAGCTCTGGTGACTTAAAGTAGAGTTGTAGAGAAGCTACAATTTGTGTTTTTTGTGTCTGTATTTTAATGACTTACTCAATAGTTACAGCTTTTTGAAGTACTTCTCTAATTGTCCTTAAACAGTGGGGTGCTGGTGTCCGTGATGAGTTTGTTTCCATTGCTCACTTCTACCAAAAAACTTGCATATTCTGCAAATCCCCCTCCAGTCAGTATATGAAGTATTTTGCTTTGCCTCAAGGTGCAAATTTACACAAGTCAATCAAAAAGTCTTTATAGTAATGAGGTCTAGTTTGCATGCTAGGTGCTAGGTGGTATCCTTTGGCTACATTACAGTATAATTTAGAAGTATATACAGTAATTATAGTATTATATTTATAACTTGTCGGATAGAGGAGGCTTTTAAGAAGCACTTAAGAAAGAATGTCTCATTCCTAGCAAAATTGTCAGCACTGCAATATACGTATTACTTTTTAATGCATGGTTTTCTGTTTTACTGCAATATCCAGTTTCTCAGAATGGAGCACTATTATTGCAGTAGGATAATATCCGCAAGGAGATTTTGTCCATGATTATGTTTACAAAGTGAATCTCAGCAGTTAAAAAAAAAAGAAGCCAAAAAGTTGCTCACAAATGACCAGAGGCTGTCGAGTTTCAAAAAGTAGCGTGCATAATAAACAATCAGAAGAACACAATGAGGCTCCGCTGACCTCCTTTTTACCTCGGGGGGGTTTGGAAGCAGCAGCTTAAACGATGGCTGCATGGTATGCAGCTGGATCGGAATGCAACTCTTACCCACCAGAATGCTCAGCAGAACCAGTTGTTGAACATTTAATGAGAAAGTACTGTATGTGGTCACTTTGGCAGAGATGGAGGGCGTTCTTTTGGTATTGCACGGTATGTTGCTGTTTTGGAGTGAGGACGTTGATCGAGAGTGTGCATGAGAAATAATGCAGCTGGAACAGATTGAAAGTCTTTGCAGTGCACTGATTTGTAATCAGATTTGGTTGGGTGCATGTGTGCATTTTTTAAAGCTATTGGAACACAAAGCATTGACAACTCTCTGACTATACATCTTTTAAGGCCTTAACATCACTGCAAATAAAAGCTCATTCAGTAAAATGAAAGAATAAAAAAGATGTTTTACATCTCTGTGAATGTGGCACAGTATCATCAAGCTCGGTTTTACGAGGGTGACAAAAGCATGCATTGCACCCTCATTTCAGATTTCTGCACCCTCAATTGAATGGTCGCACATGACAATAGTGAGTCAGATGGTGTTTACTACGTCTATGATCTGATGGTGATGACAGGTGCACATGACCTGTCTGTTCACCAACGACCACATGTGGGACCCAGAACACCTACGCTACTTTTCATTCCTGCGGCCGATCACTGTAGCTGCACCCCCTTTAATCTCAGATGCACTCTAAGTCATTTTGTTCTAGAACCAGGCCTGAGTATCATGACTATTTGACGATAAATGACACAGTGTACATGACTATTAATGACTATGTAAACTCCAAACAGGTACCAGAAGGAAGACTGAGGCTGTCATCAGAATATTTTGAAATACTGTAAACCTTCTGTCTAATGTCTTTTTCCAGACTTGTGCACCATAGACAATGCTTGTCAAGAGATTCTTAAGGATGACTGTGATGTCTTTTTAAAAGATCAATGGGGCTTTTAAGGTTTGTATAAGTTACAAAGCAAGGGAATGTATCTTTTTTCCATTCAAGGATCTAGAAAAACCCCCAAACCCAGACAATTAAACTAGATATCACTTGACAGCGTCTACATCTTTGTTTGGAGTTCAGTTCCTATAGCCATAAAACCAAATATACCACAACACACAAACAACAGCAGCAATCGTTTGAAGGCCAACCTTTATACATATTTACAAAAAAGAAGACAAAGTTTCCACACATGAGAAGAAATCAGTTCGACACATTTTCATTCCGTCTGCGAAGAAGTTATTCTGGAAAAATCACAGGAGCTGTATGTTGGCGCTGAGATGTAAACAGAGCAGAGTGAGAGTGAAACACATGAGGCTGTTACAATACACGAGGAGCAGCTCTGCACCACATCTTTTAAATGTTTCAAATGGTTTTCAATAAAAATGTCTCCTAGGAGTTCTGCCTCCTACTTGTGCAGTGTTTGGATCTCACACAAATATACACATTCATATACACAAAATAAACACAAGTAGGAGTCCAAGTGGAGCATTTTTTTTTTTTTTTACAGTAAGGTCGTTGGAGTTGATGTCAACTTGTGCATGAGCTGAGATAAAATAGAAAATAAACAGGGAGTGGACTCAAAGTGAAATCAAACTTGGCGTCTTCTCTGGAGCAGAATGAAAGGTTTTATGACCAACAACAAGCATCACATTTAGTTGTACTGTATGTGTTTGAGGGTGTGGATTCTGGCTGGCAGGACATGCCACAGCCTGTGTTTTAAACTAACCAAGCTGAAGCTGCCCGGGCAACGTTGACTGATTGGTCTCAGCCGCATATAGGTGACTCCTTCTGCCAAATAAAACAACTCCTCCCTGAATCAGTAGATAGATGTACTAGATGTAAGCATTAAATTGATTAAGCACAACAAATGAGCGTTGACTACTACCATCGGCTCATGGCACATTATTTGCAAATGTGCCGATGTCTGTCAACAGAGCCGATATCGTCTGATAACGATGCATCAGTTCATCCCTAGAAAATCTTTTAACTCTCTTAAGTTTGAACTTCATGTTTCATGCAGTGAGTTTCCTGGTAGGTGAACACTTTTAAACACACCTGTAATTCAATTCAATTTATTTGTATAGCGTCAACTCATAACAAGTGTTATCTCAAGACACTTTACTCACAATTCCTACGTTTTCCTCAAGTGCCCTCAATCTAACATTTGACAGAAGTGTGAGAAAAGGTGAAAACTTGGTCTGATTGAGATTCTGCCAGCTTGACGCTCACCCATATGCCCTTTTATTCTGAGACGAGGCTGTACCTGACACTTACACACAGCTCTATAAACTCTCCTCGTCTCTCTGAACTGGATAGCTCTTTCATGTGGCCATGGCTAAGAAGCCAAGGGGTGAGGCCCATGCTAATTTTCCCTCTGCTCTGAGTCGTTCTGGTTTATTTTTCGAACGGCATCAACAGTCTGTCTGATCCATTGCTGAGTGCCCTGTTTGGCAGATTTACTGGCATGGCCTCTGAGCCTTCATCTCAGCGCCTCTCACACAGAAGCATACTGTACAACACAGTACAGATGGAAATACATGCAACCAGCCGTTGGCAATGAATAGGAGCCTTTGCAGGACCCAGTATGGACCCAGTATGGGATACATGTACTCGAATGTGTGCAGGATTGCGTGCTAAGAATCATCTGTGTGGGATGAAATTAAATATATGAAAATATGAGAGGCTGTTATTATTGGACTTAACCATGCAAGTAAATGCATCTCCTTCCAGTAACCAATAGAAAATTGAGTTAAGTTTTAATTCAATTAGTGTGTCTCTCTTTTTCCTACTCCATACAAAGTTTTTTTAACATAAGTTTCTATATTTTCATCCCCGGTGGAGTCCGAGCCGTACACTACACTCTCACTATGTTAAGAACAGATGTGGGATGTTTTTGAGGGAAAGGGATTGGCCAGATCCTCAGAATGACTAAAACTAAATCTGATCGTATAGGCAGGGTAGAGTGGGAAGGGGCACATTTGGGAATCTTTATGGGCACACGAACATACAGTATATGCTTCCAACAACAACAGACAGAAAAATAGATATTTTAAAGATGAGCTCCATTTGTGAGTCATTATGAATGAACTAGATGATGAAGAGCTTGAAGCCTTTCCCCCCAAAAAACAAAACAACTAACTCCAACATACCCAAATAAATACAAATAAAAGAAACGTTAAATAAAGATGGAACAAGTTACTGCAAAGAGTCCAGAGTCCAGTTGACGTCAGTCCAGTTTAGCATTGCCTCAAGTTCCAACTTTTTCATAATAAAGGCTTCTTTATTATTCATGGAGCCTCCGTCGTCATTTACAGCCAGATGTCATTACCAGCTGGAAGTACAGGAGCAGAAATATATAAATCTGCTTTAGTTGGGCTGGAACCCGACTCAAAGTCACATAGGGCCCCATTTAGGTCCTGAGCCACAGGCTGAAAAACATGCAGGTTCTGTACAGAGTCTGTAGGCGGTTAAGCCCGTATGCTGGTCCTCTGTGGGACGTGATTTTCAGTACGTTTTGTATCAAACACAACTGAAACTTAAATATTCATCTTGATATTTTACACACTTTAGTAAGCTGGGTTTACTGTCAAGACCAAAGTGTTTCCTTGTACAGTGGATACGGAAAATATGTTAAATATGACCAATTAAATAACCCTCTTTGTTTTGCCAAAATATCTGACCATGACCTGGTTATGAGGTTTCAAATTATTAAAACCATTAAAAAAAAAAAAACATAAATGTCATGAGGAAATTTATACTTTTTTTTCCCAATGAAAGGTGTGATTGTGCCCCATATAGGCAGCTTTAACAGTTTTTTCCCCAGACATCTGAAAAAGTGTAAAACAACCAAAGTTCATGTGCAGTTTGTTTGCTCTGTTCACCTCACATATCCTGAACTTAACAGAAAACCCACAATACAGGATAGGTCTTTTTTTTCTTTCTGGCATGATATAGAACACCAGGTTTGAATGTTTTGTTTTTTTCCCACACACCTATACTAAGTGCTCTCTTGCGGGGCATAAAAATCAGAGCCAGATATAACTTTGAATTGTGAACTTGAGGATAAACATCATGGAAAAGATCTCCTGCGGTGTGGCCTTTGTGGCTGCAGCCTCCCGGGGAAAGTAGATCTGTAACCTCATCAAAGCCGTCGCTGTGATTTTTCTGTGCCTTTTATCTTTGCGGTTGTGGTCTGCCATCTCATAGTCAGACCCCACCTTTCTGAAGAAACCCAAAAACTCTCCCTGTACAGTAACTGGACTGCTGCTAAATATTTTTTTTTTTGGTGGAAAAGATGCACAATCAGTGTTTTTTAAAACGCTTTTCACAACCTGCAGGACACAAATACTTAGTCAAAAGCTTTTTAATCAAGCATCACTGCTGATTGTTTTCCAAAAGAAGCTTTTAGATTGATGGGTTCTCCGTCACACAGAATATTAAAACGGCTTTCTATTTTAGTTAAGTTTGGCCGTTAATTACACAAACTGTTTATGTAACAGTCTCTGCTGATGTTCTAACATCTGAGAAATCTCTTCATCATGATTTCTCTGTTTGCTTGTTTGGTTTTTATTTCAAGACAAAATAGCTCGTCATTAAAAAGCCTGTGAGCAGTTAAGCTTAAGTGTGATACAGGCCAGTGGATTGAGTGTCCTTAAAATGCAAATGCAACACACTGTACCTTCTGGAAAATGCTGTTTAGGACTGCAGTCAGCTTATGGCTGGAACGTAGGACGTCAATCTAAAAACATCTGTTCTGCTTTGAGGAACAATCAACAGTGTGTGTGTGTGTGTGTGTGTGTGTGTGTGTGTGTGTGTGTAATTTGGGCAAGAACATGCACAGTCATCAGTATGGCCCCTTTAAAGCAGGACTCATTAGGGAAGAGCCGGATGATCTTTTTTTAGATGCTGATTGTGGAATCACACTTTTTTCCTTTCAGTCATTGATCCGTACATGCTGTTCATCCTTCATTCAGCATGCTGAGCAACCTTTAAGTATTCCACTTTTTTCTCCACGAGTCTTTTGTCCACATGTTACAGTCCTTGCTGTTCACACCCTCCTGTACATACTTCAAATGTTTGTGTAGCTTAGTTTGAAAGTTTGTCATTGTATTGAAAGGATGCTTTTTTTTTGTTTTGTAGGTAAGTGCATGCGCATGTCGTAGTCTCTGTACATACAGTATGCTTATCTCAGTGTTTAAGTTAAGTGTGTGTCTTAGTGTGTATGCTAACACAAGTTTTATGTTATATGAGTGTGTGTGTGTGTGTGTGTGTGTGTGTGTGTGTGTGTGTGTGTGTGTGTGTGTGTGTGTTGTAAGTATGTGTCTAGAAGTCAATGGAAATCTGCACTTCTATTCTGCAACACATTCAAGCGCTCCTTGGTGCCCTCAGCTGTGGTTTGCTCCTGCTCTTCCTCCCTGCTGCTCTTCCTCCCCTCCTCCTCTCCTCCTCCTCCTCCTCCTCCTCCCCTCCCCTCCCCCTCCTGCTCTTCCTCCCCCGTGCTTGTGCCTCTCCCCCCTCTCTTTCTCCTTGTTAGGCTTCACCGTGATGTCACTGTGGCGGCGGTGGTTGCGAGGAGGGCGGTATCCCAGCGCCCGGCAGTGCTGGCCGATGTTTCCTGGGTGAACCAGCGCCATCACGTCCTCGTACCAGGGCTGGATTCCTGCGCTCTGATAGGACGGGCTGGACCAGGAGGCGAGGAGGCTGTTAGCTGAGGGGCTCCAGACGGCGAGGCGCACAGTGACGGCGGTCCAGTGATAGCCGTGCTCCTCCACCTGGCAGTGGTAGACGCCGCTGTGAGACAGCTCAGCCTGACGAATCAGGACGCCACGCTCGATCACCACCAGCTGGTCACCTGTTACCACCTGGAGAGAGAGAGAGAGGGAGAGACAAGATGAATGCTGGGTACTTTTACTTTATTTGTCTTTGTAATGCCAGTACTCTCACTGATTCATATGATAAACTTGATAGAATATTCATGACTCATTTATATTCTGTGCACCTGGTTAAGTTCTGGACTGTTCTCTCCTGCCTGTTTGTACCAGGTCACAGCAGCATGTCTGGATCGGGGCAGACACTCCAGGTAGGTGCTGTTGCCCTCGACGACCATCATCACCCTCTGCTCCGCCTCCACCTGCAGCCCAGCTGAGTGACATCAAGGACAATATGCAACAGGTTAGACGTCTGACTTTTGTTGAATGTGTTTTTAAACCATTTATTACTTAAAACATATTTAAGGAATGTGGCAGAGAACCCTTTTCTGTTCTTAAAACCGTTGTGTGCCTCTTTTCTGAACGTATTAATCCTGAGTATGTTTCACTGTGTTTGACCAATTTCTTCAATTGGTGTCTTCTCTAAACGTTGTCTGTTTTCTGGGATTGAAGGATTGAAGGACTGAAGGATATTGTGTTATCCTTCACAATAAATGACAAACTTGTGATTTATTAATTAAACCGACTTAAATGCTGCTATCTAAATGTATTGAACAAAAGTTACACAATGTACAATTCTTATATAAAATGATGAAGAGCTTTAGGATAAAAACACTGTGTACAGAAATGTAAGATAAGCAAATCTTAAGATATAAAACATATTTGCTGTATACATAAATATTAAGAATGAAACTTATCGTAGTTAAGGCGTTGTCACTGTAAGGGTCATGTGTTTAAGTAATACCCGGCCAAAGGTTCACACAGAGATTGTTTCAGTAAGAAACAAAGCAGTAAGTCACAGTAACAGAACTTCTCACCTCCCTGTCTGACGCACTGAGTTAATGGATCTTCATCCTCCCCTAAGTGACGAGCATTCCTCCTGTCGAGTAAAACACATGAAATCACTGTAATGACAAAACTTTGATTTTAAACGCCGGACCTGTTTTCATAACACTGGGAAAAGTATAACACCCAATATTGTGACATTTTGTTTTAGTTAATTAATTACTGCACTTTTCTTTACTACTGAACATTAGAATATAGGATATTTGGGGCTCTTATGGCCTGACAGTTAAGTCGCGCCTCATGCACAGAGACTATAGTCCTCCAAGTGGGCGGCACAGGTTTAAGTCCGACCTGAGGGTCCATTCCCCACTCTATCTCCTGATTTGCATATAATTTGAAAAAATAAAGGAATGGAGCTTGTATTGTTTTAAACCTCATTGTATCTAAAAGTATTTTGACAACCTTCGTTTAAGTTTATTTAAAAGTGCAAATTGTATCTGATGGTGATCACAGCAGCTCAAGAGAAAATGTCAACACATTACTGTTGGCATATTTCATCAAAATATGTTTGTTACTCTAAGTAAAGGAGCAAAGTCATCGTCAAGTGGAAAAAATGCATTCAATTCCATCATGAAGATCCGAGTTCAGACGTAACATGAGCCACATTTCAAACTATTAACAAATCTGGTTTGATTTTTGATTTAAGAAGATTGATTCCATGTGTTTCTTCCGCTGTTTAACTGAGAGAAATATTACATTTATTGTAGGATATCCAACAAAATCACATTAGTTGTGTGTGTGTGGTTGTAATATGTCCCTACCTGCGCACTGTAGGCATGAAGGGGCTGCAGGCGTGTCCGTCCCAGGTGCAGTAGGGGTCTCTGGCCAGGCAGCACTCGGCGCACGCCTGACCGTACAGCTCGCACTGGTACAGCGCCAGCTGGGACACGCCCTCACTGGAGCCCACAAACAACCACTGCTGGAGGACGAGGAAAAGAGAGAGGGGGGATGAAAGACAGAAAACAATGGAATGGAATAGAAGTAGGAAAGAAGACAAGAGTAATAAATGAGGGAGGGCCAAGAGGGAATAGAGAATTCAGTTTGAACAGAGACACATCGATAATCAACAGCTGAAGCAGAATCCTCTTCACTCTGAGTCACACTGATAACTTCAGTAACAACGTCATTGCATGGCTTAGGGGTATGTGTGTTTGAGTGTGTGTTTTTGTATATGTGTGTGTGTGTGAGAGAAAGAGAGCGGGAGAGAGAAAGAAAGAAAGTGGTCGTGCTAGCTTTATAGAATATTAATGTGTTTATGTGTGTGTCTCATTTTGTAGGAAAGTGTTCAACATTTTTTTTCATGAAACCCAGACTATTTTAATAATGCAGAGTATAACTGTGTGTGTGTGTGTGTGTGTGTGTGTGTGTGTGTGTGTGTGTGTGTGTGTGTGTGTGTGTGTGTGTGTGTGTGTGTGTGTGTGTGTGTGTGTGTGTGTGTGTGTGTGTGTGTGTGTGTGTGTGTGTGTGTGTGTGTGTGTGTGTGTGTTTGGCATCTCATCATTATTGCTCTGAGTGAGGTGGGGTAACCATAGCAACTGGTGATGAAGCTGTCCTTGGAGATACAAGGTAGAGAGATGAGTGATAAGTGGATGTTCGTGTCCGTGTGTATTAGTGTGTGTGTGTGTAGAGGAGTTTGGAAGTTTGAAAGTGAGTTTCCGTCTCTGTCGCTCTTCTGTTACCTTTTTCTTTGAGAGTGTCATGGCTGTCACAGGTGATTTGTGCTGTGAGAAAAAAAGAAAAGAAAAAGGAAACAGTCACACTCAGGTAGAGAGAGATAGACGGATAGATAGAGAGAAATAGAATTCAAATCAAAGGAAAAAACATAATGATTTTTTATCTGAGTGTCTACAAACCACAAGCATTTTAAACAGTTTAAGATCATTGAGAGAGACGATGTAATAGTTCGGTAATCAGACATTTTCCCGGTCACACAGACGCCTCACACATCGCGTACTTAACAATAGAGAGCTGAAAAAACACCACTGTCAGACAAAGAACTTTCCACCACATCAGTCAGCGTGAATGCAGACGATTGGAGCCTCCTGTGAACATTCATATTTGGCTGAACTTTGCTTGTCCACCATGGTAATTATGTGCAGCTGTAGCATTTCTGCTAAATGTGTTTAGAATCTCAATATTTGAAAAAAAGTTAATTAATTTCACCTGTAATGGTATTCAGTACATACTGTATGTATTGGCTTATGGCGGGGAGGGGGGGGGGAGCTATACCATATAATGTGAGACTTGAACACGCTGGATTGAACGGTTACGTCCATGCACTAACATTTAAGACTCTGCCTTTCCTGTCCTCTTTCTACAGAGTCTTGTCTCTGTGTTGGTCTTTTCTCTTCATTAAATTTGGCATCAGGAACTGTTTCTTTTGTTTTGTTTTGTTTGTTAACTTGTTTGGTCTTTTTACATATGGATAATAACAAAAAGAAGATCTGCGGTTGGGTATTAGGGGCGATGAGGGGTACCATGGAGGGGGTTGGCTCTGGGTTGTGGTGCTTACTATCAACTTTTCCTGAGGCATCGTGGGGCCCACTGAGCGCTCAATCTTCAAATTAGGGCACCTGTATCTTGTATTTTCTTAAGATTCAATCAAAAGTCCCTCAGTGTTTTTGTAAGTATAAAAAAGGTTTGCATGATTTAAATCATTTCTGACAATTGTTTCAGACTGCCTACGTTATTCTTTGTCCATCATGCTTGCATTAATTTCTGTTGCATAGTCTTGCAGACTCAGAGCAGAGCATGTGCTGCATTACAGAGACAGTTAAGTTATTGTTTGACTTGGTTTAAAGAATCTGAAAGAAAGGGGAATGTCTGGACAACAACATGTGAAGCATTAAGGAAAAGCCACAAGAGTTCATTTAAAAATCTGAAACACATCAACATCCTTTACAGAGTGAATATCTGAAATACAGAGTAATACATGATTCAGATTCATACAGCTCAGATTGAACAATGAGACTCAATGATGTTTTACCTGAAAGACCTGCAGTTGTTCCAGAGTGACCTCCTGACCCTGGCCTTGTTCTCTGGGCAGATGGATGGCCTTCAGCACCAGACCTGAGTCTGCAGAGAAGAAAAATGAATGAGGTAATCTTGAGAAAATATCAGATTACAAAATCATCCACTCAACCAAAACAGAAAGACACTTCTCCTACACACACTCTACCTGTGCCGATGAACAAGACATCGTAGGTGCCGTCCACAGCTTCCACCCTGTCAACCAGCAGTTTGCTGAACTTATAGTGAACACCCACTCTCACTAGGAGGGGGCGTTCTCCAAGCGGCAACACATTTTCCTGAAATAGAATAACGGTAATTTAGAAAATGCATTATATCGCACTAATATGAATATTCTTGAGTGCTTGTTAAATCAAGCTGTTCATTACAGATATTGTGTTCTCAGTTTTGGACTGGTGTTCCTTTTGTCAAGACTGATGACTGTTTACATTTTTAATCTGAAGAATGCAGAGACAAATAGAAAGTTGGCTTGACCCCACTGTAAAAAAAAAAGAGGCACCAGTGTCATTTAACGAGATTGGATCAGTTTCACGAAGTGTGATATCATCTGAACCTGCAGCAGTGGATGAGTCCTGCTGAAGAAGATGACGTCGTCAGGATACTCTCTGGTCGAGCTGTAACTTCCGTATGTACTGCTGGGACACTGAAGGAGAGAATTAAGAAAAACGAGAGTAAAGAAAAGGATGAGAATGGTGGTAGCAGCACTTTTCACAGTAAAACACAATTAAACAGTCTAGTGTTGTAGTCAAGACAACAATAACCAAGACCAAGACATGCCCGAGACCAGAGTGCTCCGTGACAAAACCAAGACATTTAAGGATTGAGGCAAGACCAAGACCAAGGCTGGACGAAACCGAGACAAGACCAACACCATAAATATCCCTGAAAAATCATCATGTTGTGTGCAGCAGGGCATGTCACTCACTTTGGGAAGGTTGTGGTCGTAACCGAGGTATAGAAATCAAATTACAGTTTGAATGAATTGAAGTTATTTTTTCCTTTTAGAAAGACAAATTTTCTTTCAAATCACAGTAATGACTTGGAAAAATCAGTGGTGGTCTTGGCTGGTCTTGATTTAAAATCTGGAGTCCGCCCAGTCGACCAGTAAATATGATTTTTGTTCCTGAGACGAGGCAGAGACCTTCAAAAAGTGGTCTTGAGACAAAGACCGATTTTAAGTACAACAACCCTAAATTATAAGGTGATTACTAACAAAGGCTTTTGATTTGAAGTAGTCACTTACAGTTCCAGGTCGGGGGTAGGGTATTTTGCCTGTAAACTCTGCCCACTTATACTGAGGTCCCTCCTTATGCAGGAAGTTGCCCTTAAAAGCTCGCACCACATCCTCCATTCGGTAAACGCACACTGCTGAACCGTTCAGGATATCACTGTAAAAAGACACAAAAGGAAACAAGGTGAAATGTCGTTCATCACAGTCAGATTTATTATAATCTTTCCATTCAGTATTTCTTCAGTGCTCATGAATTAAACATATACTTAGTGTGTCTTTGATCATTTCACTGGGCGAGCTGCGATGGTGTTTAAGCAGTGAGTTAAATGAAAGTGATGGACTGTATGAACTGACTGCAGAGCTATGAGTCATTGTGGCTTTTTTGCAGCTTGAAAGCAGTAATTCACTGAATGTGCTCCAAACTCAAGTCCAGGCTGTATTAATGCTCTGCTCACAGCTCGTCTGTCCCCACCGCAACACATCCCATCCTCTCAGCAAAGAGCAGCAAAGATCATGGTCAAGGTTGTGGTTATGTGTATCTGAGCAAAAGATGCTGAAAATGAAAGTTTAAGGATAACAAAAAGTTGTATCAGTAAAGAAGAAATACTTAGAGACCAAGAACCAGAGAAAAGAAGAAGAACATCGCCTACTCACTGCTTATTTGGATGTCATGTGTCTTTAGATCGCAGTCATTCTTTGTCAATTTATATGCAATGTGAAGCTATGAGTTCACAAAAGTGTGCTAACATTAGCCTGCTAACACAACAATGCAAGACACAGTAAATTAAAGCTTGAGCCATGGAAAATGTTGTCCTCTGTTTGCGCTTCATGGTGCTTAATTATGGTGTGTTCTTATTGATAACTGCGTGGTGCGAACTCGAGTGGAGAGGGGTTGGAGGTGTATCACTGGAGGAGAGGGGAGGCTTCAGAATAGCCGAGGTGTGGCCAAACACCAGTCTGTTTTGGTTTAGTGCTGGTGCTTAAGGGCGACATCTACTGGATCAAAAAGTCACACATTCTTCCTTTAAGATGTTGATTATCTTTAGTTCAGCAATCAAAGTCAAACTCTTCAGTTGCTTTGACCATCTAAACTCCTTTTTACAAATTGTCAGATTCCCTTAAGGTACATCTTTCATCTCAGCAAACATTTAGAAACTTATCTGATGTCTCACACTTTTGGATGAAATTCCAATGCAAATAAAGAAAGGAATGAACTTTGGAATGACAAAGTCAATAAGTCCATACATAAACAAAAACCTCTGTGTGTGCAATCATAACTTTTGCAGAGAGACAAGTTTCCATTCACATGGAATGACCTTTTCGGCACTGTGCAGTTCTGTGGTTAGACCCCACCCTGGGTGATGCTTTGGATTTCCATCCGTTCCCTGCTGAGATTCCAGACACTTTCCAAAACCCAGAAACAGACCAACTCCCTGCTCAGCGCTGCCAAATGCTGTCATACTTGTGCTGCTACTGTCGAGCTCTGGCGTCCGCCACAGAGTGAGTTATTCTCAGAACATGTGCTGCCGTCAGTATGTTTGCAGAAAATGACAAACAGGCTTTTTGTTGCTCACTTGCTCTCTAGCTGTTACACACGGTCCTATATTCTCCAGGTTTTCTGTCTAGTACTTGTGTTTCTGTGTTCCTGTTCACCTCTTCTTTTTCTTTGATAAGAGCCTGTTCTGAGTGTCATCCACTTTTCTACCCATCAGTAGTCAGTCAGTTTTAAAGGGTCTGTCTGCCTCGTATAACGCACTATGACTTCTTTGTTTGCATCATTGCTCGGTCCCAGAGGAAGCAGAAAATTGCTTTTCTTCTCCTCTTTTTTTCCTGATGAAATGGTGTTTTGATTTGTTTGTTCTTCGTGTTGTTTTCTCACATTCTAAACATCTCAGAGTTGATTTCAGTCTCTGAAAGAAATTCAACCAGACACTTCACAATGGACGAAAACACAAAGAAGCTTAAATATTATCCAGCAGTTAAACAAGTCACAAATAGAGCTTTGAGAGATGAGAGATGAAATAAATGAATAAATAACTTAACACAGACACACACAAGATTTCTGTTTTTTGGAGGAACTGTATCCATACATGGAACATGGCTTTCTGTGTAAGTGGTTGACAATCTTCTTGTAGAAGAACCATAATTAACAACCCCCTAGCTTTTAAATTTCATTTGGGAAAATTGTTAATCCAAACTGCTGCTGTACCTCAATCGGCCACATGGGGTCAAGAACATGCGATCTATCATGATGCAGCTTCATATTGAAAGTAAACGGAAAATAAATGAAAAAAACTTGTTTTATTATCTTGTGTAGTTTTTGTTAAAGATTGTTTTCTTCAGGAAAATCTTCTCCATAAAAATGTATTTGGTGTAAATGAAAAAAACACCTTGTAGCCTTCAGCAACCCAACCGGACATGGTGGTGGTTAAGTGGCAACTCTTCCACTCTTCTGCAGTGTTGTAACTCCACTACTATTTACCAACTAATGGTGTTTACTGTATGTTTACTTTTCAAATCCAATAACACGGATACAGTTACAGAAATTTGAAAGCACGTGTTACATGTTACTTTACATGAAATAACTACATGAGAATAAAGTTTATTGACATAGATTTTGGCATTTAAGGGTTACACTAGCATCAGTGCAGTAGCATGCTTGGCGAAAAAGATATAACCCGCCACCTCAACTACCTCGGAGCCAGGACTAAACAGACTGATAGACAGGTATGTTGTTGACGACATTCTTCATATCAACTGTTGAGACTGTTGTCTTTAGAGAACTAATTAACAAAATACCTTCATATTGAAAATAGCTACAATGGTTTAAAATGTGGGAGTTACTTTACTAATGCAGAAACTCAATAACTCAGTTATTTTTTGATAAGTAGTAGTTACTAATTACTTATTTTCAGTAACTTGCCCATCACTGCTCTTCAGTTGAGCCTAAATATATCTTTAAGGGTTGATAATAAATACCAGGGATTGACGTAGGAACAAAAACCCTCAATCCAGTGGAAATATGTGACATATTCACACTGTCCACTTCCCCCAACACTCATTTTAACACTTGCACAGAATACAAAGAACCTTTTACAGTTAGCAGTATATTCCCTGTTGTACAGAGGTACATACCTTGAAGTGGTAAATAGGCCGTAGATGAGAGGGTTCTTCTTGTCTTTCCCATGGAGGATAAAGATGTCCTCTGGAATGACAGAAAGAAGGACAGGAGGGAGACATCAAAGAAGGTAAGTAGAGGGGGGTATAAAACATTAGTTAAGCCAGTGACAATCTTGACAGTGTCTGAACTCCTGGAGAAGTTTTCATTAGAGCCGCACAGGTTGGTGTTACTGTGTTTGTGTGTGTGTGCATCAATCAATGCGACTGTGTGACTAATAGCGTCAGGCATGCTGGCAGCATGGCTGACTGGCTGCCTGTAATGAATCTGTAGCCATTAATAACCAGCCTCAGCAGGAGAGCTGAGCGCCAAGTCCACCACAGGAGAACAACACCTGCTGTCACACAACACACTAACACTACGCCTCGGTGTTCACTCTTCATATGAATCACAGCGGATCACAACATTTGATACGCTTCTCTCACTTTGCTGTTTACGCCCACTGTGGTCCCTCATGCAGCGTAATCAGGCAGAGTGTAGATTTTTGGCTCATTCCATCTGTCTGTATTTAAAAACTCACACAATTTTTTAAAATAATTATACATCATTCACCAACTGCCTGATGCTTGCATTGTAGCTTTGATAAATGAAAGTAACACCTCTTGGCTCAAAAGCAAAAACAATACAGAAGAAAATACAGCCAGGAGTGTAATGAATCAATCAACTGCCACACTGAAAATAAAGAGTATGCAAAAAATAATAATATCCAAAGTGGTTTCATCAAAGGCATCCTGCAGAGTTTTGACCGTCGTTGGCCCTCATATCTCATGTTTTTGTGTCCCAAATTTGTTTGTTTCTTGGCATTAATTGTCTTCCATGCAGCTTCATCAAAATGTAACAGCTTATCATCGTTTCTGGACAAAACAGAAAAATCAAAAGCAGTGAAATAATGCTGATCCATTTAATCAAAAGCACATGCAGCTGTTCTCGTCTTGGGTGGATCACTTAATTTTTTAAAATAGCAAACACTGGGAGTGAGGCATCTTCTGAATAGATTAAATATTAATGAACAGACTGATATAAAAACAGACAATCAAACAAACAGATGGCAGGAGTCAGGAGACTGGAAAATGTCCTCTAAAAGTTTGTAGTTTACAAACTCCCTAACACAATGAGTTCATATTTTAACATATGTATGTAACTGTATTTGAGAAAAGTAGCCTGTGGTTAAGTATTACTGACTCTTTTCCCCTCATCCAGAAGACACGGTCATCCAGTGATCACCTCAAAAGCCACTGATTGATCAAATAATCCCAACTGAACTCCACAGTAATCTGCCAAAACGTGCTAACCATGCCAGCTGCAGACCCCTACCTACTACTTTAATGAGAAACTGATGATTATCAATGATTTCTCAATTTCTCCCATTCTTAAAATGAAACAGGCAAAATGAAACTCTCATGAAGGCAGAATCCCTTAGCTGTCAAAACAACAGCGGCAAAAATGAAACATCGGAGGCAGCTGAAAATCATCTAAGCATTGCAGTAAATAATGGGACCATTAATGGGACCACGTCTTCAAGCGGACTAGCGCACAATACATGAGTACAGTACGATTGTGTTTACACTGATCAAATGAACCGGACTTTGGGGTCAAGTGTACTCATATCCAGGTATGGATCTCTAATGTGCAACCAACCTCAGTCACTTTTTCTATCGTCCAGAATACAACAGGGCGGCTGCAGCTCAGGTGGTAGAGTCGTTGCCTCTCAACCAAAAGACCAAGGGTTCAATCCACAGCTGGTCAACATGTCCGATGTGTCCTTGGGCAAGACACTTAACCCTGAATTGCTCCCACTGCTTCAGTGGTGGTGTATAAATGGGATTAACTTCTGATGGATGATACTACATAGCAGCCACTACCATCAGTGTGTGAATTTGTAGGTGTGACATGCAGTGTAAAAGCGCTTTGAGTAGTCAGAAGACTAGAAAAGCTCTTTATAAGCTGAAGTCCATTCACAAACAGATTCTATGATCTTCTCATCAGACACTTTGTTGTTAATCTGACAAATCCTTGTGAAATTTTAGAGTGCATTTTCTGCAATGTAAAGCTTTGCACTAAGGCATGAAAAGTTTGACGTATAAGTCATGTTTGCATAGTACATTCAGCTGAAGAACAGTTTTGTCCTCATATTTTTAGTGTTTGATTTAGTTGTCTGCTGTCACAACAGCCCTGAATTTTCAATGGTTATTTAAATCACACTAAATCAAAAGTTTTTCTGTTTTGCACTCCTGTCTCAGGTATGAGTCGGGAATGTTTTTATCATCACATCACTGTGGTAGAGAACAGAGCCTTTTGTTTTCTACGTGGCAATCTGTGATTATCTATAAATACACAACTTGACTTAGCTCCTTTGTGGGACACAAAAAAAAAGAGTCTGAAATCTCTAAAAAGACGTTTCTCTCAGAAAGTATTCAGGTTGATGTTGAATTACAAAAAAAAAAGTTAGGTAACCTTTGCAGTAGCAAAGTTTGGAAGAAGATGTGAACACAAGGTTTGGATTTGCTCTACGTGTCTATTTCTACTCATCTTTCTTTATATCCTCTCCTTCTTTTCCTTTTCTTTTCTCTCTCTTTTCTTGCTCTTCTCTTCTCTCTCCCACGATGAGGCACAGATATTGTTGTGGTGAAAGAGACAGCGAAGCATATCAGTGCTCTCACATTCCCGTCGTTCCTACTGCTTCAGGTGGCCTCCATGGAACTACAGCCCTGCAGGAAGTCTAATCTCATCTCATCAAACCGCACACACAAAGCCACACACACACTTGCCACACACACACACACACACACATACACACACACTGACTAATTTCAGAGAGCATTCACATACAAAAGAGAAATAAAAGCAAGTATGGCCACATGCACACACCCACCCACACACGAGTCATGACAAAAGGCATACACATGAACACACACATACTGTACTTATAGACACACACACAATCATCATGCCCCCCAGGGCAGAGCAGAGAGGACTATGGGTAGTCTGCAGCCTGCAGCATTTATCACTCCTCCCTCCCTAATTTAATATATCACTCCTTCATTATTAAGTTTTCTTTGGTCATTCGTCTTCTTCATCACTCCCCCCCTCCCTTTCAAATAAAAATGCACATGTCCTGTTTGTGCAGTTTTGTCTCTCTCTCTAACTCTCTTTATGTCCTCCATCATATCTTACTTTATTTTACATCTTAAACTGTATATCGTTCTTTTTCGTACTCCCCTCTTCTGAAGAATGCACCTCCTTTTTCATCTCCTTTCATTTATCAAAACCGTTATCACACACCCCCGTCTTCTTCTTTTAAAGTTTTTTTTTTTCTTTGCAGTTTTGCTTTATTACTCAGATGATATATATGCTGTTTGGTGAACGCTTTCATCTCAAGTTTTTTTTTTTCGCAGACAGGATGAGCCGGAGTGAAAAGAAGGGCATCGGAAGATTTACATCCAAACCTGCAAAGTTTCACAGTTTTACAGCCAGCCTGGAGGAAGCCATCTTAGCACTGATAAAAGACAGACTGCTTTCACTGTAATCCTGAGGGGAACATATTTATCAGATGACTGTGATCGAATACAGCAAAATAACTGATAAATATATATTCCTAATGCATCTAATATTTACTTAACCTCTTAACACATCTACAGAGGTGGTCAAAGCCGTGGTCAAAGTATCGATGTCGGGGGGGGGGGGCACTCGTCAGAGCGGTGGAATGGTAAATAAATCCTCATGTGCAGAGGTTTATATACAGGTACTTGTTTGTGTACACAAAGAGGGAAACATGTTTTTTTCTTTTCATTTGCAAACCTCAGAGAAGTCCATAAGAGCCGTGTCAGCCCTGATTTGGTCTTTTTCAGGTCAAAAGAAGTCTAGACGGGTAGATTAAATCCAGATCCACTTGGCTGAACGATGCGGAGATTTCCTTAGATGTCCAAGTTTGAAATGTTTAGCAGATGCAATAATGCAGAGCAACAAGACAAAACATGCAAATCAAACCGTTCAATTGAGTTGATGTAACTTCTGGATAAATAAGAAGCTTTAATGTGTTTTCACTGTTACAGTTTACTGAAGAAGAAAACGTTTGTTTGGCCAGCCCTGTAGATGTCAATGATTCTAAACACTTAGAAGATTTAGCTTTTTCTTCATCTTAACACAAGAATAAACCATGCTAGTAGCTTTTTGAGGCTGTACTTGCTCACAAGAATGCTAATGCTCAGCAGAAATAATGCTAACCATGACCCCCCCTCTGGGCTCAACAAGTTAGCTTGCTACCATTCCTTTATTATCACTTAACACAAAGTAGAGATGTTGTTGATGGGAAACATCATTAGTTTTAAGGCATTATGTAATAAACAACATTCTTTGATGATTATCAACTTTAACCAGTTAGATTAGCCGGATGAAAAGTTCTGGAAACTTTGACCAAAACGATTGAAATTTACTTTAAAGGGCAATTAATGTCTGCATCAAATTTCAATGCAATCCATTTATTTTGCTGGTTAGGTGAAAAGTTTGACGTGGTAGTGGTTTTTGGATGATCCATCCTCAGGGCAAAATAAATGTATTTGATGAAAGTCCATTCAATAGTTGACATTTCAGTCTGGAACAAGTGGATAGTGATGTAATTAATAAAGCTAGCTGCTATCATGGCAGTAGCTCAGACTGTAGGAACCAGAGGGCCTCGGCTAAAGTCTGGAAGACTGGTTATATTCTTTCACAAATTCATTCATTCATTCACTTCAACCTAAACTACTTCCTCCGTCTACCTGCTCTGGTGATCAGCTGATAATGGAAGTTTTTTCTTTAAGTAATTAACCAACCAGATTCGGGCACAACCTCTCTCAACCAATCATCCTGCTGCAGCAAAATGCTAAAACAGTTCTCTCTCTCTTCTGCATCATTCTGTCATTTCAGGGCAACTGCTGCAACCCACCACCGCCCCAGTCACCTCCATTCCAGCTCAGCAGAGTCCAGATTCAGGCTCATCATAGCCTCCATCCTCTCACCACCACCAGTGTCTAGACTCCATAGAGGGG